GGTCTCACTGAGTTGCTCACTGCCTCAAGTTTGCTGTGGCTGGCTTTGAACTCACAATCCTCCTGCCTCAGCTTCTGAGCTGCTGGGATTGTAGGCACCTGGCTAATGGTTTTTTGAGACTCATTCTTACCATGTTGCCCAGGCTGGCCCTAAACTCCTGGGCTCAAGCAATTTAGCTGCCTTAGCCTCCCACTGCACCCAACACTCTCTATTCTTAATAATAAAGTAATTAAAAATACTTACATTAGTTAACAAAGAGTGGGAGGGAGCAATGAGACTAACTTAATAATTTACACTGACAGAAGGGAAAAGGGAGCACAGACAGAATTCAAGAAGACTCCTTCAGCAGGGTGTGAAATTTTTTTTTGGTACTCTGTATTAAACCCAGGGGTGTTCAGCCATTGAGCCACCCTTGGCCTTTTTTTTTTGGTTAGACACAATACCTTTATTTAATTTATTTATTTTTATGTGGTGCCGAGGATCGAACCCAAGGCCTTGCGCATGCTAGGCAAGTGCTCTACCGCTGAGCCACAACCCCAGCTGCATTCCTAGCCCTTTTTTATTTTGAGACAGAGCCTCATTAAGTTGCTGAGGTTGGCCTCAAACTTGTGATTCTCCTGTCTCAGCTTCCCAAGTCATTGGGATTATAGGCATGTGCCACCCCACCCAGCAGCATTCTTTTTACACAGTACACAGTCTGGTACACAGAAAATAACCAATAATATTTGCTGAGAAATGTCCTACAGATGTACATTAAAAGGCAATAACAAGTAACCTCCCCACAGTCATATCATACAACCTGTTTACAGATTTGTGAGTTCTCACAACAGATGATCCATTTTGAGTTGAGGGAACAAATAAATTCAGCATCAGGAAAATGCTCATATTAGTTAGAATAATCAAAAAAGTGGCAATGACTTTGAGTTTATTATAATTAAGTACTCATGATACAATGGAAGTGGAGGAGTATTTGCTTACATTTGTGTGAAGCCAAGTTCAATTTTCTTAGGAACATCTGCTCCCCCACCAGTCACACCTCCCTCTCTCTTATATCCAACTTATCACCAGGTGCTGCTGCTAGTTTTACCTCCCAAATATTTCTGGAATCCTCTGGCTTTTACGATTGCCTTTACCATCACCACCCAAGGCCAGGCCATCATTTTTTTCACCTGGCCCAATTTCCTTACTGTTCACATAGCACCCATTCTGATCTGCTGCTCCAATTCATTCCTTAAAATACTAATTAGTTTTAAAAACAAATTTGGACCTTGTCACCATTTCCCCTGTGGTGACAAGTCGAATTGCTTAGGCTCTTAAAATAAAAGTCTTTAACATGGCTTAAAAAATACCTTGTATTATCTAGAATCTTGGTGTCTCCAACACAATTCTCTCCCTTATTCTGCACTTAAACCACACCATTATAAGTTTCTAAAACACCAGGCTCCCTTCTACCACAGGATCTTCACACATGCTGTTCCCTCCATCTGCAATACTTTCTCCTCTGTGGTCTGATTAACTTCTACTTATGCTGGCACTTATTAAGCACTATCTCATCTCTCCTTGCTTGTTGCTCTTAAAATTTTAGACATCAAAGGAATTTAAGTCCACTGACTTTTAGATAGAATAAAAAATAATAAAGGATGCCACTTAAATAATTAAGTGCTGGCTGGAAGTGAGTTTGAATGCAAGATGCAACAGGTAGGACTAGCCCCTGGAAAACATCCTGTTATGTGAAGACGCTCTCTCTGAGTAACATTTCCAATCTCTTGTAACCAACCCATACACAGTTTTGCTCATTTCTACTTACCCAGTAGGGCCAAAGAAGAGCAACTAAATTAAAAACTCAGTCAACCCACTCTGGGAATGTCTGAAGTAAGAACTGTACATGTGACATGGTCTGTGATTTCTGAGCCCCAGCACAGGTTGACCTAGCCCTTCTTGATCTAAATAATACCAAAATGCTCAAGATCTGCAAGATCTGCTTTATCTCATGGATTCCTTCCAGTGCTGGCCTTAGTTTTCCTTGTTGAGGTGAGAGATTGTGACTTGATATTCATTTGTTTTATCTCATATGTATTTAGAAGCAACTGCTTCTTTGTGTTACTCTCATTTGCTCTAGATATGCTTGGTTTCTAATTATTTGTGTATCTATATTAACATGTGCTAAGGGATTTGCCAGAGCTGCAGGACTGTGTGTTTTCTAAGTCATAAATTCATAGATTAAAGCTCAAAGGAACTCAGGCAGCAGATTTAAATGAACAAAATTTGGGTCTCAAATAAGAGATGACAGACAGGCATTGTGACACACACCTGTAATCCCAGTGACTTGGGAGGCTGAGGCAGGAGGATCACAAGTTCAAGGCTAGCCTCAGCAACTCAAAAATAAAAAAGGGCTGAGGATGTAGCTTACTAATAAAATACCCCTGGTTTTAATCCCCAGTACCCAAAAAAAAAAAAAGGTATGACATCCCTCTCCAGGTTTTCTTTATGGTTCTCTTGGATTGTGCAATTGAAGGGGCACTGGGCCATGTCTCCGTGGCAGTCTCTAGTTGAAGGACCACTGAACCATATCTGTCATTTTTGGCTTAGCTCTGTAGTGAGACGATTATTAATGTCCTTGGGTTTCAAACTAACATTCCTTCCAATCTAGGCAGAAAGTCATTACAACAAAGTGAAGCATAATAAACAATGGGAAAACTGACCACAAAAATCTATTTACTCACCTCCTGTCAGAAGGGACAGAATGTTTTTGCTACCAGAAATCCAGATATGCATTTGCAATCGATAAAAGAGTGAAAATATTTATAAGATAGGCAATCAAAATGGCCAAGAAAACATGAAAAGGCATTCAATTTACTTAAAGTTGGAGAAATCCAAACTACAACTACCTTAGGACACCTACATTAAGATGACTTCATTAGATGCCCATCAGCTTGGTGAAGAGTGCAAACATGAAGAATTCTCCAAGGCTAGTGAAAGGATAAACTGGTATAACCACTTTGGAAAGCCATTTATCCAGTAAAGTAGAAGACTGATCTGCCCATTGGGCCAACGATCCCATTTCTTAGTTTATATCCTGTGTCAGGTAATGAATAAGACTATTTGCTGCAGGATTATTCAGAATAGCTGAAAATGGAAAACAATCCAGTGCCCATGAGCAGCAGGAAGAAAAATAATGGTGGTATAGACACTCAGTGGAACATCACACTGCAAAGAAGACAAACACTTCACTGTTGCAGTAAAATTACACTTAAAAATCACGTCTACAAAAGAAAGGCAGTCACAATAGAAAGATACTGTATGTCTCACTTACAGCAAGACTATATTGTAGGGCGGGGGTTGTGGTTTAGTGCTAGAGCGCTTGCCTAGCACATTAGGCACTGGGTTCGATCCTCAGCACCACGTAATAAATAGTTATTTAAAAGAGTTTTTTAAAAAGACTATATTGTATAGGGATGTATACTTAGCATGCAAAACAACAGGGGCAAGCAAGATATTACTACCATCATTCAAGACCCTTGGAGGAAAGTTGTAAATGGGAAGGTGGGGTGCTGATAATAAGTGTCAAACTGGGGTGGTGGTGACTTTTAAGTTCGCTAATTCTTCAAAATGAGCATTACGTATTAGCCACTTTTCTGTGGGTAAAAATTCATAATAAAAATGCTTAAGAAGTCTTATGCCAAAAAAGTAGAGAAAAGATAGATAGATCTTTTAAGAGATATAATTTAGGATGATTCGAAGACCGGGCGGTGCGTGGGGCCAGAGTGGGGCTGGCAGCCGGGTCCATCGCCCAGTTTGTCCCAGATACGTGGGTCACGACCAGGTCCGACGGGTCCCGGCCAACGCAGCGCCTGCGCACTGGAGAGGTGGCGGGGGAAGTTTTAGTCTTAAATGATTATATTAGGCAAGAAGAAAGGTCTCAACACAGTAATGTAAACTTTCACAGGGCGGGGGGCGGGGCGGGGGGA